TGTGTGTGTGTGTGTGCGCGCGCGTGTGAGTAAGCACAGATGCATGTGAGTGAAAGTAACATACAAAGTAAAGAGAGGAGAGAGGTAAAAACCATAGATCTTTGATGAGAAATAAGGAGAAAACTACACCAGAACACAAGCCAAAATCTCACAGTCAAGAGATAGAAGTGGTTAGGGGTTGGACAGTCTGGGAAAATTTGTGACAGATGGCAAGCCTGCAGCGGTGCCCTTCAACCAACCACACTTAAAGCACATAGAAGTAGAAAGTGAAGACCACATCAGACCTCTCAACGCAAAGAGAAGAGCCTCATCTCAACATACACAAGGCCAAACCCACAGGATTTTGAAGAACCAGACTTGTATCCGAGACGATGCACTCTGAAGTAATTCCAGCGCACCGTTGAAACCGCCACTTGATTTTACTTGGAACCAAATGAAGGGCAAGCTATGAAAGGTTGCATGCACATTCTAATATTGCGAGAATTGTATTTGTAAAGCATCGCGGTGGAATCAGGCGGTCATCAAAATAATCAAATTGGAGTTTTTTTGTTCAACCCTCGTATGGCCAAATGAAAACACATTTCCATGTGAATTTTATTGAAAAAACATTGATTAAAGGCACAAAATATGAAATTTTTCAGTTTTCAAGGGTTCTTTAGCTATGGAGTTACCAAAGTTAGGCAGCTGTTTTCTTGCTATTTATATCACTGAAACCAAGTGACCTTACCTCTTTCAGTATCAAATATCTTCAAGATAGATGGACATTTTTTTCATTGAAAGGACTGCAAATGGATCAGCTTTCAGACGATACTAATAACTCCATATGCCCAAAACTTGACGAGCTCCTGATTCTAACGTGTCGTGACATATTTTGCTCTTCATTTGGACCTCCATGATGCCCACCAGCACAGCCAAGTTTTTATAGAGAGCAAAAAGAGGCTGCCATTACAGTACAGGCCCGGTATAGAACACTTTACGTAAGTAAGAAAGTGTTTATTTAGTGTTTAAGGCCATTGGCCCACATCATCTAAAACACACACTTTACAGAAGAAACTTCCATGACAACAGCATAAATCACAAATAATGATATTTTACATAAAGTCTGTGGAAAGAACTCACTCACCTCAGGGGCAAACAAAGTCTTGCCCATCTGCTCACACAGAAAGGCATACTCCAGATTGGTGAGACCAGCTCCGTACTTGCTCCCCGGGTCCGACTCTATGGGCAAGAACAAGTTCCACAGGCCGGCCGCCTTTGCCTTCTCCTACAGGACACAAGTAAAAACAATGTGGGTGGTTGGTGGGTCCTCTGATGCGGTTTGCTCTTCTTTCCTTTCCAACATCTATTGTCCTTATCTCTTCTCTTACTTTTCTTTGTACAATGTATGTTACTTTTCTAGAAACATCTTTAATCTTTGACATGTATTTGACCTATTGTGTTGCAAGTGTTATAAAACTATTACTAAAACTAATTCACAAAGCTGCTAATTTCCATTATATTCTAAAAAAAATGCTAAAAGCACATTACAGTCACAGAGATTTTAGATTTTAAAATGACTTCACAGGTAATATGCTGACCATAATGTTATGTACATATTTAACATTTTCTATGGAAACAATTTGTTAAACAGTGAAGCTGGCAACAATATATGAGTACAAAAAAATGTAGAATACAAGGAAAAACTCACTCACAGTCACAATAAAAAAAATTAGACTGGCTATCAACAAACAATAAATTAATGATCATGAAAACAACAGTGCCAGCAGTGCCTAACAGACTGCAGTGATTTTAACTTCTAAGATCAACTCTTCATCGTTTTCTTTCCCTCCTTTATCTACTCTTTCCTATCTTCCTCGTCTTCATTATTATATCTTCATAACCTTCATCCTCTGATCTATTAACTTTCTTTGATATTATTTGCTGTTTCTTCTCTGTCCATTGTCCATTATCTTCATATTCTCTTTCACCAACTCTCTATCATCTTCCTCCTCACATTTATCAACTCTGCATCATCTTTCTCTTAATTAAAAGGCAGTAAGACACATTATACAACTTTCAGACATTATCTCAGCGTCTCTGACCTTGGCGGCCTCCAGTTCGGGCATGACCTCCCAGCGGGGGGCGCCACTCTCCTCACGCTGCTTGCGGACCAACTCCAGAGGCACTACGTGTTCCTGAATGAACTCCTTGACCCTTCGGTGCAGATCCTGAACACGAGGAGAAAGACCCTGTACGTCCACCGCCATCTGACCTGAAATAATAATAACAATAATAGATTGCATTTATATAGCACTCTATCCCATTCTAGTATAAGCTCTGAGCACTTTACACCAATCACATTGACATGATTCACACAAGAGAAAATATTTCTCAGAAACAAGGAAAACCAGTTCAACCACATAAAGAAGAGCTTTCACAACCATACATTAATTATATACATGAAAGGACAGCAGTAAAAACAAAAAACATATCAGCATAACCAACAATTTTTCCCTCATCCATTTTTTCACATTTTCAATGCATTTCTCTACTCTTTCTACAGCAAGAGCCATAAATTTGTGTGTCATCGGCGTAGAAGTGGTAGCTGAGTTGATAAATTTGTACGAGGGCTGTCCCACGGAAAACCGGAATTTGGCTGTAATTTGAAAACTATTCAATATTTTCACATTCTGTAAACGCACACTTGTAAAACAATCATTTAGAAATTTCCCGATTGAGCACCATGAGCATCGCACAAACCAAACGAGCACAGCAGTTCTCAAAAGATGGCTACCCCCTTGGAAAATTGGTCAAGGGTAGAAGTGAGGTCTGTCTTTCGGTTTCTGACCGCAAAAGGTCTCAGACCTCTAGAAATACACACTGAATAAAATCAGTTTATGGGGAGAAAGTAATGGCAAAGTCACAGGTATATGAGTGATGTAGTAAGTTCAAAGCCGGACACTCCGATATCAATGACAGAGTTTACCCAGGATCTTGTTTTTCTGCCAAGACTGAGGACAACAAGAGTCGCGTTAACGAACTTATTCAAACAGACAGGCGCCTAAAAATTCGCTAAATTTGCGAGTCGCTAAGCATTTCAAAGTCGACTGTCTATAGGATAGAGTTTGATGAGCTGCACTATTGAAAGGTCTCTGCTTGATTGGTTGGGGCCGAAAAAGACCAGCGGGGTCATTTTGCAGCATGGCAACACAACGCCACACACCGCAAACGTCACGAAAGACTGGTTCCAAAGGTTCGGCTAGGAAGTTCTACTACACCCCCCTCACAGTCCTGAATTGGCCCTGTCAGATTATCACCTTTTTGAACCAATGAAACGCCATATTTCTGGACAGCGATTCACCGACGACGAAGACCTCGTGGAAGCCGTGATCGATTGGTTGAAATCCCTTGACGAAAGATTCTTCAGGGAGGATATCTTCTCCCAGATCCAGCGATGGGAAAAATGTGTCCAGCGGGATGGTGATTACATTGAGAAATAAAGCACATGTTGAGGTATGATGTGTTACAGTTTTATTATAATAGGAAAAAGATTTTTGCTTTTACGAACCTTTTCCGGTTTTCCGTGGGACAGCCCTCGTATTTAAACAGCAAGTGGTTGTGTATATGTGTGTGTGCCTGACACATTTTGAAGAATCCAATTTTTTTTTCCATTTTAAAGTAAAGGAATCATTTCTGAACAATATGCTTTTTGAATTTTTAAGATATATTCAGCAGTTTTTGAGATATGGGTGATTTTGTAAGGCAGGGTACAGAAACAAAGTTTTGAGAAAAACGGCTTTAAAGTTTCCCCTTTGTTTCTGCTTCAAATAGATAGATCTCGTTTCGGGACGACCTGACAACACATTTGCTATTCACAAACCAACTTTAAAAAGCAGCTAAGATAAAAGAACAGCTTCAAAATGTTTACATTACGTCTTCAAAACAAATTCATCACCAACTTGAGCAAGAATGTTCAAGAAATTAGATCTAGGTTTGCACAGGGAAGAAATATGCGATACAATCTGTTCTCCAAAAAGACGAAAGGGTGTGGGTGCGTAAAGCTTAGCTTTGTTTACATGTTCTAGGTATTAATGTGCAATACTCGCTACTAGACAGCGGAGAGAATGACCTATATTTTGGTATGCAATGTGTTGGTATAAAGAAGGCGGCTGATTAATGGTCGTATAAGAGATAAACAAGAGGTTGATCAAATAATGGTTCACAATGCAGGTGCCATGGGGTCGTTCTCAGTAACAGATAAGGTTCGTTGTGGAAGAAGAATGAGTGAAGCCACGTCACCAGGGGGCTGTTCACCCTGCAGGCGACTCCGTTGAATCCGAGCATGCTCATTGTGTTCGTTGAATCAGAGTTATTTTTTCATTTTTAAGAATAAAAAAAGGGGAATCCAAAAAACCCCAAAAAATGTGATTGGGTTGACTTTATGAATGGACAAGAGAAACCATCTGCAATGTTTACTCGGAAAACCAATTTACTTACACAGTTTTGGGGATTATGCAATATATCTCGTGTTATAAAACATCTTTAAAAATGTATTTTAAAGTAAAAGAAACTCAAGCCCTTGTTAATATCAATATAGGAATGGCAATGGAATCCATTTTCAATGGAACTTAGTTTTCGTCAAAAATTATATTTTTGACCTTTGAAGCCTGATATCTCGGATTGAGCAAATGCGTCTTTTGGCACCTTTCACCAGGCACGCTCACATATATAGTGAAAAGCATTGGGCCTAAAACTGAAGGCCCTTTTGCGACATGATGTCTTTTATCATTCAAAACAGATTGGTAGCGATTTGACATGTGAAACTTTGAAATAGAATTGTACAATGGGTTATATGGGTTCGACACACCTTTTTACACGAAAAAGGTGTGGGCGATGGATTTTGACATACTCTCCAAAAGCCAGGCAGCTGCATGACAAAGAAAGTGTTGATTGGAATCCTCAGGGAAAGGCCATGTGACACTTGGAGAAGTCATAGAGATGACGAAGAGAAAAGTGGAAAGACATGGAATAAAGTCAAGAGGCTAGCCCAAGATAAGGAGAAGTGGAAAGTGTCTGTCAGTGGCCAATATCCTGGTCCAGGGTGAGAAAGGTAATGATGATAACACCTCTTCAAACATGAAAGTTATTATGGCAGCTTAACATCTGATGAAACATATATCTCCAACAGAGGTGAACAAAACAAAAATTCCTCAAACAATAGAATGACGAGGTTCAAACCATGTTTATCTGTAACATAAAGTGCTTACTTTGAGAACAATTCCACATAACAGTTCAACATCTATTCTTCAAAGGTCCTAAACTACATGATCTCCGATGGCAACTTCTTCCTCCTGATCCTACCACAGACAATACCCTTTTCTGCAGCAAAGAACAAATCTAAGAGACTTTCACCTTTTTTACCATGGCATTGAGCCAAACAGCACCCACTCAAAGGCTACTGGATTAACACTTACAACAAGCTGGACTACAGCCCAGTATATATGATACCTACTGAGCTACCAGAGCACAATGTACACGGCCTTAGAGGAACATGGAGCACACACATGACGCACAAAAGCAATACACTTGGGACACCTGAGAGAAAAGTGTGTATGAGCATCCTTTGATTTTGTTTAGTTTTTCAGCAAACCAGCCCAGAGTATCCATCAACCACCCACAGCATCTTTAGTGAGTGTTATATATTGTTGCCGAGTTATAAATAACCACCAACCATCTGCTAAAGCGGGGATCCCGAAACATTTTTTAAAGTAGGCTGGATAATTGAGAGAATACCAAGTGCAGGTCACATCCTAAACACACTGCAAACACATCTTTAAAGTCATTTTTGTTTCCCTTATGGTGGCACGGCAGCGGGCCAGATTAACTGACTTTGCGGGCTAGATCCAGCCTACGGAGTGTAGTCAGGTGACACCTGTGCTAAAGCAAGGAGCAGAAAGCCTCAAAGCTATTATGGTAATTTTAAAAATCCTTTAAGAATGATGAAACTTGCAAATGGCATGGTCTGACCTTCTCGTCTTCCTATTAGACATTAGCTGAACTAAAAAAAAACAGAAGGAAGAAGCAGACCATCTGCTCGATAACTGGTGACTTTTAAACAGAGAAAAATACTAAGCAATGAAACATATTGCAGTGGAAAGCAAAATATCCAGCACTAACCTGCTGTGCCCTGACCCGCACTGGTTGAGTTAGGCCGTACCAATGTTGACATAACCGGACGACGGTGACTCATCAGTGTGGAGAAATGTCGTCTCTGGCCACTTCCAGTACTGTTGTTGGCACTGGTATTAGCCGCGCCAATGGGTGAGGAGGAGTTTAGAGAGCCCAGAGAGGCAAGTTTCCAATCACAGTCAGCCATTTCTTCTGCCATTGCTCCAACTGCTTCCCCTGGTGAAGAGCTGCTTCAGTTCTTGATAGCACGCACAAAAATGAAGAAGATAAGGTTGTATAGAAATTTTTTTAAATTTTAAATAAAATAAAATAAAATAATAATAATAATAATAATAATAATAATAATAATAATAATAATGATAATAACTATGATAATTGCACTTATATTGTGCATATCTTTGCTCCACAGCATGCTATGTGCTTTACATCTATTCTTACCCATGCAGACCTTACCTAGAATACTTGGAAACATTCTCAGCTTTCTGGGAGGTGTACAGTAAAAGCAGCCTATTAATTAAGGGCTCAAACAATAACATTAAGTAGACAAAAACTTTCAAGAGCATAAGCCATTCCCACCTTGGTGAAGTGAGGAAAATTCATGTAAAGTACCATTCCCAAGGACACAATGTTGGGCCCTGATATGGTTTGATCCCGTGACCTTTAAGTAAATAGCCCATTCCAACAACCTTATAACCACTATAGACCACAGACGTTTACTAAAATCAGGTGGAAGAGGATGAGGTCAGTGAAGTGGTTTGAGGGGGTTTTCACAAACCCTTTTGTACTGCTCTTGAGTTGAAAGTCAACAAATCAAAGCGATTTTACCGTCATTGTGCTGAAACCAGAACAGGCTGATCACACCCCAATAGCGGAATGCTTTTAAAGAGTGAAGTTTTTGCATTTTAACCTGTTTTGGTTAAAATCTTTATAAATTGATGTTTCTCAAACACCTTGAACGATTTTCTCCACATTGAAACACTTGACGTCTCCCTGCTTTGAGAAACATTTAGCCAAAATTCAAAATGTTGAAAAAGGAAGAAAAGATATATTATTAAGTACTAGATCTATTTTTAATAAAAAGAAAGAAGCATTTTTTTTCTCTCTCTCCTGGAGATCTTCCTTTCTGGGCTAAGAACAATTAACTGATCCGTTTGCTGATGATATGGGCCTCAGTATTACCTACAATAATTAACTTTACACCCCCTGCAAAATTGCTGCAGTGCCAAAAAAAACTAAGGCATGATAAAAGTCCCAGTTCTCCATCTGCGGCCGTGCACTCAGCCTGCAGTACTCTGCGACAAATTTGCCCGCAGTGGGCTGTCACAACCTTCAATTCTAGAAGAAATAACAAAATGAGGTTTACCAATTACCACTACTATTTCTACAACTGCTACAACTACATCACAACTATATAAATCTATAACAATATTACAACAGTAGTCTCCCCCTAAGATCTCGGTGCTTGGGAGCAAGGAAAATGCGGGAGCGGATGGGATCTTAGCCAACACATCAAAGGAAAAATCTATGGTGATCCATAATAAGGCCCACGACCCCGGTAAAATGGCCTCCTTTCACTCTAAAATGAACTGACATGACCCTTGGGTGGGTTTATGATATGCCAAACAAAGAGAGGCCAATTAAAATTCAGCCTGACTCACAAATTATGGAGAAGAGACAACTGCTGCAACGGGAAGAGTTCACATTTCA